TTCAATACAGCGTTGAGGAGCGAATGATGAGTATATTAAAAAATAATTAGAGAATTTCACCGAGTTAATCATGAATAACAGGGTGATTACAAAAAACACGATTTTTTGTCATTTTCATCATCGAAAATCTTCATGATCACCCTATATATCTCAACGAAATCATGTTCATACGGTATCAGCTATCTTGGGAGGTTAACAATTCACTCGAATATACAGGATGTGTATGAATAAATCGGTCTTAGGTGTCACCAATTTTGCAAATCACCCTGTATAAAATGTATGAATTGTGATTCATGATGGAATGAGAATAGTATATTGCATGCTAAATTATTTTTTCGATATTTCATTATTACATCGAATTTTCAGACATCACTGAAATGTATATATGTTTCACTCTGTAAACAATTACATCATTTGAACCATCTGACTATGTTGAGTAATATGGAGGTTCGTTAATGATATGAGCGAAGAAAATTGTACTTGGCATCTTTGAATTTCGAGAAAATAATTAAATGAAAAATACCGATTTGTAACTTCAACGCCCTGTGTCTCAGAATCTGTTCATCAAAGAACTTTACGATTCTGCAGGTTCAATCAGTTCATCGAATTCTAGAACATACTGAAAATTCAGAAAAATTCACCGAGAACCATTTTACGTACTAAAAGTGCGGGGTCCAAATTTGCTGTAGCGAGAGATATACCAAAAATGCACTCTATGACCAAATGGGTTCATCTTCAGTGATATACACTGCTCGTCAACAGCCATGGAACCACCCCAATTTCCAGAAACTGATATTAGGAGCCAAAATAGGTCGAAAATCACTTCAGATTCGAAATCAGGACGCCCAATTCACTAACTATTCATATTTTTTCTGGAAAATTTTCAGTTCTGAAAAATCAAATTCTGTAGCACTTTTTACGAAAGCACTCACACATCTTACGTAATTGACTTTATCTTTGGACTTTCCCTTCCTCCTGCAAATTTCAGAACACTACCTCAATAATTACGTGAGATACGCGGGTGCATCCATGAGAATTGAGACAAAATTTGATTTTTCTCGACTGAAAATTTTCTAGGAAAACTATGAATAGTTAGTGAATTGGGCGTCCTGATTTCGAATCCGAAGTGATTTTCAACCTACTCCTAATATCATTTTCCGGAAATTGTGGTGGTTCCATGGCTTTTGGCGAGCAGTGTATATCACTAAAGAAGACCCCACTTAGCCATAGAGTGCATTTTTGGTATATCTCTCGATCAGCAAATTCCAGGATCCTCACCCAATGATTACGTAAGATACAGGGGTGTTTCCATTAGAAATGGGTCACACTGTAGCAATATTCATTCAAAGAGTAATTGGACTTCTCACTCATTGCTAGCTTTGTATGTTGATACTGGGTATTTCCGAAATTGGAGCTATGAATAATGACATAGTGGAACGCAAGAAAAAAATTTAGACAAATTTTGAAATTTCGCTCTCACCATACAGCACGTTTCAATTGATACTGAACGTCCGGATAAACATTGCGAAAGTCATTGATTCATGCAATGTTCTTTCTTTTGGGTTTTTTGTCTTGTATTATACCCATTTCACCTATCGCTCTAATTTCAAGAACACCCTGTAGATATATCACAAGTTTATGCATCCCCAAAAATTATGAAAAAAATGCAGCAGTTTAATATCGCGTTCACAAGAAAATTTTGATTTTTTATTGAAGTTGAATGAAAATTTGTACCGGGTGTACCACTAAGAAAAGACGCCGGCTGTATCTCGGAAACTATTTGCCGCACAGGTTTCGGAAAAAAATCTTGATGATAAAAGTGTCCAAGAAAAATCTCTGGAAATTATTCTCAAGTTTCCAGGACAGAGGGCGTAATTGCATTGGCCAGTTTAATAAACGGGTTTTTGTGTAAATTCGATATATCAAGACATATCAGAAACACTTTTTTCATGTTCTCGAGTTGATTTACAATCATTTCGAACGAAAAAAATTGCGCTAGCTCTTTAAATAAAAGAGGGAGGGAATGATGAATATAGTACTTTGAAAAATCTCTCATTACTACAGTTTGGTGTAACGAAATTCAACGATCTTGGTCTCATTATGAAGGTTTTTTTTTGGTTCTTCCAGTTGAATCACGAATAAAGTCGATTTAAATCATGTGGTGGCCGCTAGATGGCATCATTTGAAAAATCAGACAATTTTCCATTTTTTTTTTTTTCGAAAATTTCAAATGGGACCATATATATTCATTCTACTCTGAAATGACAGTAGAGCAAACGAGAAGGAAAATGGTGAAAATCGCGAATTGATATACCTCTTGAGGAACCGGTGGAATACTCGAAATAATACTATGAAAATATTCACCACAGGAATTTATTTTGGTTTCACAAACTGCTGTTATAGCTCACAATAGTGAAGGAGACTCTTAGTAATGACATAGCTAATTCGAATGAAAGAAACGTCAAAATATAATTGAAGTTCCATTGGAAGTTTTCACTATGCCGATAACGAATGAGGAGGCATTTGACATGCTTACAGTTTAAATTTTAATATTATTCCGAGTATTTCTCCGGTTCTTCAGCAGGTATCAACTCGCGGTTTTCACCATTTTTCTTCTCGTTTACTTAACTTTCATATCATAGCAGGAAAAATATATGGTTCCATTTAAAATTCTCGAATAAAAATGGCGAATCGGCTGATTTTTCAAACGATGCCATCTAGCGGCTACCACAGGATTTAAATAGACTTGATTCGTGATTTATCGAGAAGATCTGAAAAATACCTTCATAATGAGACCAAGATCGCTCAATTCCGTTACACCAAACTGTAGTAATAACAGTTTTTCCAGAGTACTATTCATCCTTCCCTCCCTCTTTTATTTAAAGAGCTAGTGCAATTTTTTTTCGATTGAAATGATTGGAAATCAACTCGAGAACATGATAAAAGTGTTTCTGATATGTCTTGATATATAAAATTTTCATAAAAACCCGTTTTTTAAGTTGGCCAATGCAATTATGCCCTCTAGCAGCTGTCCTGGAAACTTGAAAATAATTTCCAGAGATTTTTCATGACCACTTTTATCATAAATATTTTTTCCGAAACCTGTGCGGCAAATAGTTCCTGAGATACAGCCGGCGTCCTTTCTTAGTGAAACACCCGGTACATAAAGACATAATTATTGTTATAATGTATCCAGGAATAGGAATGTGAGATAATTATGACAAAATGAATGATCAGAAAAATAGGGTAATTTTGAATAAATTCACATCATAATATATATAGGGGTATAAATATAATTTTATTATTTTGGTACTTTCAAGAGAGATGCACAAATCAATGGAAGAAATATCATGCATTGACCGCCTTATTTGACCATGCGTACCTAATGCCAAAATCAATTTGGGAATCTCATTTCATGAGATCCGAAAATGAACTTTTTTGTTCAAAATATACTACTTTAAAGGTTATCTGGAATTTCCAGTGAGACATCTCGCAATATTTGCACCTTTTCATAATTTATACTAAAACATATACGGGTGTTTGCGAAATTGGAGCGATAGGAAACATCCTGTATAAAAAAAATTCTTCGTGAGATTAATCAGTATGGGTATAATCATATTTACAATATTCATATACATTCTATTTCCACTATAGCTATAAATACAAAATTCGATAAAATAGGTTGAATCACATCTAATAGATATTTACAGTATATTACCTTTATGTACACACTTGAAAGTAAACAATATATAACATCAACAATTAAAAATGAAAATCAATAAAATTTCAAAAACTCAAATATCAAGTCTTGAAAACAACGTACGCTATTAAAAACAATAGCACACCTTGTGGAGGAACTAATTAAAATAGTATAATATAGTACTTTACTCATAACATGAATGCAAAGAATGAAACAGTATAGGTAGATAATTAAATGGAACAGTTATAGTATAGGTTCTTGAATTTCTTAAAACAATCACAATGATGATAAAAATGAATGAAATGCAAATTATAAAAAATCGATTGATCTATTTACTTATCAAAAAAATCAACTTATTTGAATATATGGGATCACTATCAATTACTCGAATAATTTTAACGAAATCACCAAAAAGACTGGGCCATTCATCATACAGTGTGTTCTGGGTTTCATAAAAGCATCAAACGACAGAAAAAAAATTCGTAGAAGGCTTTGTTCACAAGATAGAGGGCGTAAAAGTTGAAAATATTAATAATTTATTTTTCGATCTCTATAGTCTGTTACGTGACTGGCATAATGCCAATATCAATATAATAATTATATGGTTTTTACTGGAACTCTGAGACGAAGACAGATAATTGCGGCAATCACTATTGAGTTTGTTGTTGAAATTGATCCTTGTACACCGATAGTACATTTATATATAGTTTGAAAATATGACATTGCTCTTTTCCTTGTTAAAAGTGTCTATATAATTTGGCAAACCCTGTATTTCGTTAGTACCCCATATTTTAGAGTAAATAGAATATGCATTCAATTTTCGAAATGATATAATGCCCAATGTAGTTTCCTGAATATTTTAATCATTCATTATATCCCAAAATATGTGGGTACCAAACTTGAAGCTGGACACACTGTATGTGGTTTTGTCGATTTACCCGCAACGTATTGTGGCAGCAAACATGCTTTAGTGCCCTGTTTGTAAGGAATACGTAAATCAGTCGAATAAACTTCCTTCTAAGTTCTGAATTTGTATTGATTTGCTGTGTTTTAAATTGCAATATATCGACGAATCGGTCCTCGAATGCTAGCCTCAACTCTTCGATTTTTAAAAACTTAATGATGTATTTCATTAGACAGAAACACAAAGAGAATATATGAGACCTATCAGAATTCAACTGAACAAATTCAGGTCCGTACCTACAATAACAGAGTTGAGAGTGTCCCTCGAAGATGGTGAGTGATTCTCAATACCAGGTCCAGCCTGATTTTGAATCGATATTATTGTATATCATGTTTTGCATCAAATTTATTTCTTCTCGGATGTCATTGTAATGTTTTGTAGGGAACATCAATGAATTGTCAGAAGGTACCTACTCAGTCTTCACCAACCAAAAAAATCAAAACGGATATCATTCCATCAAGAAACAACCAATTCAACGAACAATAATTATACAAAACACCCGAAATTTGGACCATAGTTTTTCATATGAAGACTTTCACTTCAATTGTTCACTCATTAATTTTATCCACTTCAAACTGCATCTTGTCCGACCGTTACACAGAAATTTCAGCTTTTTCTTGCACTTTGGATTCTAAAATGTTCTTCACCGCACTAATAATTGTGGCTGGTTCTTTTGGAGTAGTGGACCCGGATGTAGTATTCGCATTAGAGGAAACACTAACCGTTGGTTTAGAAACATTTTCGACACTATTATTGTTTTGGGCTGATATCAAGGAGTTCCTGTTTTGATTCAGAAGACTGGGATTGGGAATATTTCTGATATTCTGGTTTTGATTTGGCCTCAAGTTCCTGATTTGGGCATTCGTTGGTCTGAATTTCATTGGTATTTCGTTCAATTTTGGCAACTTCTGTAGATTCGATGATTTTATATTGGTGGAGTTTTGCGGCGAAGACATCTTCAAGGTTTGAAGGTTGGGTATTTGGGGACGCGGTTTGGTCAAAGACAAGCTCATCATTTGGGGTGGTTTATTGTTCAGGCTCGAATGTTCTGTAGCTACCTTCGATAACATCTGAAGATTTGAGAGACCCATGTTGGTTTTCTCATTTGTTCTGGCGAGAGAGGTCAGCTGTCTATTCGAAGTTATGGTCAATCCACTGTTATTTCCTATATTGGGCGAACTCCTTTGAGAACCTTCCGGGGACTTGCCAGTCCTCGACAGATCTAGAGCTCCTATGTTGTCGCACTTCTCTGGCCGTTTTGGTATGATACTAATGCCTGACTTCAAGTTAACGCATTTCTTTATTTTCTCTAGAGGAATGGTTGCTGGAGGTGGTCTTTTAGCAATTGGTTTGTCTGATGATTTCGGAATCATTTGTACTGGACTATTTGTTGGTGAGCTTATGAGGGTGATTTCCAAGCTAGGTCTTTTGTCTTGGTTATTTTCTGTGTGTTCGAGTTTTCGTTTCACGCCATGTTCAACTTTGCTGACAGTGAAACCAGGTGGATAATGGGAGGTCGTAGTTTTCAATTTATCTTTGTTGATAGTGATTTGCTTGTCGATCTTTTCAGGTAGACTCGCTTTAATGCTACAATTCTGCTTCAGAGTTGCGATCTGTCTTTCCAGGTTTTTAGTATTATTGCCAGTTTCTTTATTCTCGGTAGTGATCTGTATCTGTGCCTTCGTTACCAAGGAGCTCAATTGTTTGATTTTTTTGTTTTCGATTTTGTTCTGTTGGACTTTCCCTTCAATTCGTTGTGGTTTATCGGATGAAGCATTAAAAGGCTTAAAAAATGTTTTTTGTGCCTGTTTTTCCGTTTGCTCGTTTCGTTCCAACTGCACCGTGGGTATTTTCTTTCCCATTTCCTTTCCAATAGGATAGTGCAGTGAAAATCCACTATTGGAACTGCTCGGCTCTAAGAACGTACCCATTTTAGGACTAGTACTGCAAGTTATTGCCTGCTGTTTTGGCATAACTGCCGATTCAGTGACTTTACTAGATGGTTCTGAAACTTTTATTTTCAATTTTTTGATATATGCTGGTAACTTGGGAGGAACTTCATTCGGATCTTTATATTCCGAAACAGGATCATTGTTAGGGACAGTGATCTTGAGCTTTTCTGTACTAGTAGTATCTTTGGATAGCTTGATGATAGGTACAGTCTGAATAATTTTATCTTCGTTTGAAGTGTGCTTATGTCTGACTTGTCTCATCTGAAGCAGTTTTTCTTTAGTACTCGTATCAGATGAATGAGACTTTTCTGAACACTGGCCGGAACTTTTATGATGTTTATGTTTGTAACCATTGTTAGTGATTTTCACTTTCAACTTCAAGTCTTCTTCATTGGAAGCGATTTCAGCATGTAATTTACGTTTCTTGTGTACGAATTCATTTTTAGAGTGTTTACTCTTCTTCCTTTTTTTACTAACGTGAATATAGCCCTCTCCTTTAGTTTTCGACTCATCCAACTTTTTCTGTAAGGCCCATTCCCTGTCTCGTTTCTCAGCAAACTTTTTGATTTCTTCCTCATCTGGCTCCTCATAATCGAAAACACTTTCGTTATTTTTCTCAGATACTTTTTTGGTTTCTTTTTCAGTTTGACTCTTACTTTGAAGCTGTAAGTGTGCGAAAAGTCTTTCTTTGTTTTGTTTTTGGTCTTCTGTTTCATCAATTAATTTATCTTTCTCTACGTTCTCAACACTTTCGATTTTTTCCTCTTTGGATGACTTCTGATTTTCGGGAATCGATTTAATGGGGACGATTTGCAATTGTTTCTCACCTCCAGAAGATATAGTGTTAACGATTTTGATGGGACGTACTTTCGTAGGTGTGAAGATGCGGTAGAAAAATCTCATCGGCTTCTCCTGAAAAAAAAAAGAAACAAACAATGAGATAATGTTAAATACTGTCTGGAGGTTGATCGAGGAGGTGATTCATTCATTTTATACAACCATATATGTAATGTTGTCATTACTAACGTCATTGAAGGTTGGGAAGTGTCACATTACACAACTCTACTTCCCGCCCTCACTCATGTAATAATTCAGGTATGTTCAGAACGAAAAATAGATAGGAAGTTTCATTCCTGTCTCGAAATTATATACAGGGTGTCCGCTAAAAGGAGGCAATCCATTAACCATATATTCCTTGAACAAAAACAATATGAGTTTCTAATTACCATTTTTCATTTAAGCCCTTCATATTCGATATACAGGGTGTCAAAGTTGAAAATTAAAAACTGTTTTTTTCAAATTACTCGCGTATTCAATAAGATATCAATCTCAAAATTGGTACATTACTTCAGCACAAAGAGTTACATCGTGTGAGGAGAACAAAACAGGAAATAACTGTCAAATATTCAAAATACTGGGGGTCAAGTATACACTTACCCCCATATTTTTTTTGTACGTGCGCTAATGACTTCCAATCTATTTTTCTTCAAGTGTTCAATCATTTTTGAGTATTTTTTATTTCTTGTAAAATTTCGATAAAACTATTTTGTTTTTAAGATAATTCGAAAAGTACTGGTTATTGTATCCTGCCTATGCGGCCTATGCACATACGAAAAGGTGAATATCGAAATACCGAGTGCTCAGAGCGAATGTATCAAATTAATTTTCACAAAAAAAAAAACGATATAAATTCAACACGTCTAAATGAATTGCTCGATATGACCTCCAATTTTTTTAATACACATGCGAGCCCTTTTAATCATAGAAAATCTCAGCCTTTGAGAAATATCTGGCTTATACACAAAATCTTTCATACATCCCCACAGACAATCCTGATCTGCTATTTCTTATGGATATCATAGTTTCACCAAAAATTTCCGAAAATATTTTTTTCAAATTTCTTTAGATTTTATTTCCCGTTCGTTCACTCCCGACATACCATACGGGGGAGCTCGAAAATATTTTTAAAAAATTTCGCACCCCCCAAAACCGCTCAAACCGATTTGAAAAATTTTTAAAAATTTTGCTGTTCTCGAAAAAAAATCAATTTGATAATTCTTTCAAAGGGTGGGCTCGTCAATTTCATTTTCATTTGACCGCGTAAAAAAAATTTCACGACGTTCGATTGGCAAAAAAATTTTATTCGACACGAGTGTCCTCAATTTTTTTTTTTGTAAAAATTATTTTGATACATTCGCTCTGAGCACCCGCTATTTCCATATTCACCTTTTCGTACGTAAAAAGTTACGTCCTCTTCCAATTTCGACGAAATAAATAGGAGTATGTGAACATTATGAGATTACCGTAAGCCGCATAGGCAGCAAACAATAACCAGTACCTTTCGAATTATCTTGAAAACAAATAATTCAATCGAAATTTTACAGAATACAAAAAATACTCAAAAATGATTGAACACTTAAAGAAAGATAGATAGAAAGTCATTAGCGCACGTACAAAAAAAATATGGGGGTAAGTGTGTACTTGACCCCCAGAATTTTGAATATTTTCTGTTTTTTTTCTTCACACGATGTAACTCTTTGTGCTGAAGTAATGTACCAATTTTGAGATTGAAATCTTATTAAATACGCGAGTAATTAGAAAAAGACAGTTTTTAAATTACAACTTTGACACCCTGTATATTGAATATGAAGGGCTAAAATGAAAAATTGTATCTAGAAACTCATATTGTTTTTTTTCAAGGAATATATGGTTAATGGATTGACCTCCTTTTAGAGGACACCCTGTGTAGCTAACCTCGACGCATTGCGTCTCGGTTAACTAACTAATCTCACGACAGGAATGAATCACTTCCTACCTCGGTGTGTAATATCGTTACCACCGATACAACACGGTGGTAACGGTAATATACTATTACTTGATTATTTGGGATTTTCTCACCTCGTTTCTATACAATACAAATATCAGTATTATTTCAATATTTATATGTGTAGTAGGACAAATCAGATTATTTGCCTCAAGATGTCACTGTGTTTAACAATGTTTCCTATCAGGGAGCCTAAAAGAAAAATCCAATAGCTTGTCATTGACACTTTGTTTGTAAAAATGTTTGAAGGGAAGAAATATAGATAAATTGGAAACATATTGAATTTTTATCTATATTCCTTTGGACGTTTCGAGAACGAGTTATCTCCCGTTTTCAACATAAAAATGCAAACATATTTTTCTTCGAAAGTTGTGTTCTTCTAGTTTGACACTTCTCAGTGACATACTGATATGGGCATATGAATGAGTGATGATGTCAGTATAAAAATGAGTTACAGGATGTTTTCATCAATTGATCTTGAATCTACCATTTTCATGTTTAGTTTCCAGTATTGAATGGCATGTTCTACCTATATCAACTGAACAGGAAGCAATGCTATTATCTTCGTTCAGAAGAATGCAAGCGGATTCCTTGATTTTTCTCTGTTGGTTGTTATCTTCCTTTCCTTTAATTTCAATATTATACCACTCTGCCACATGTTGTCCATTTCCATTTAGGATATGTTCAGTTAGATTTGATTTATCGATATGTCTTTTCTTGATATTGTACTTATGTTCTTTCGTCCTTACTGGAAGAGGTCTCTTCGTTTCACCTGTATAATACTTTCCACAAACACAAGGTATACTATAAATACAATTTTTTGATGATTGTTCTCCATTTCTCGGTTTCTCGGTTTTGTTTGAGTTAGAATACATCTCATTGTATTCTCAGTTTTGAATACAGTTCTCACTTGAAATTTATCATCAACACGTTTTATTTTTTCAGATATGCCGGAAATGTATATGGGATTATATTCGCCGTTATTGATGGCAGAGTGAAATGATATCAAAATCACAGGAAAGGAAGATAACAACAAAAAGAGAAAAATCGAGGAATCCGCTTGCATTCTTCTGAACGGAGACAATAGCATTGATTCCTGTGCAGTTGATATAAATAGAACATGGTATGCACTACTGGAAACTGGAACATGGAAATGGTAGATTCAAGATCAATTAATGAAAACATCCTCTAACTTATTCATATGCCAACGTCAGTATGTCACTGAGTAGTGTTAAACTATGAGTACACAACTTTCGAAGAAAAATTTTTCGCATTTTTATGTTGAAAACGGTAGCAGATTCATTCTCGAAACGTCCAGAGAAAGATAAGGAGAAATTCTATATTTGTTCAATAAATCTATATTTCTTCTCTTCAAACATTTTTCCGAACAAAGTGTCACTGACAAGCTATTGGATTGTTCTTTCAGGCTCCCTAATAGGAACATATGTTAAACGCAGTGACATGTTGGGGCGAATCATTTGATTTGTCCTACTACACATAATATTGAAATAATACTCATATTTTCATTTTATAATATCGAAGATAGAAAATCCCAAATAATGAAGTGAAATAATGGTTTCAAAATATATGTTTATTGAAAAAATCTTCAATAGATAGAGATATGTAGTGATTTTATATATTATTTCACAAATTTGAGAATTTATCGCAATACAGAATAAACTGTAAAGGTGCCGTTGACACGATTGGTGTTCAAGTGTATAGCCGAAGCAACTATATCCAATATGAATACATACACTGAGAGAAATTGATGGGTTGAATCAACCAAAGAGAGCATATGAAAATGAGCCTATCTAGTTTGATAATTATATCAACCAGCGAACAATAGTTGAATATGTTTAGTCACCATACCAATGGAATTGTTGTTTTGATCAAGAAAATTTGTTATCAACCAGATTTTAGTCTCACAACAAAATGAGTGGTACACGGAAAAAAAGGATTTGTTGCATTAACAAATTATTTATGCTTGAAATATTTTTGTTGGCCTAAGCAATTTTTTGTTGAATCAACCAGATACATGATTATTTTTTGGAAGCAGCTTGTTCAAATCAAGAACGTAGTCTAATTGAATCAACAGTATAATATCAATTCCATCAACAAAATATATGGTTTTATCAAAAACAAATTATGTTGATCCAAAATAATGTCGATGTTGATTCAATTATAAACATTTTGTTGATTTGATCAAATAATGATCATTTTGATGGGAATATATCTCTGGAACAACATATATACAAGTTTTCTTATTCCGATGTAGCAATGAACTTGTTTCGAACGGATCATTTGCTTGAATAGAGCAACGAAATATGTAATATCAATGAAATATTTTGTTCATTCTACATCCACTTAAATTTTCGCCTCTAGATGACGATCAATTCGCCTCGTCTATGCCTGCCTCGAATTCATTATATTATACGTGAAGCCTGATTGTTCGTGTTTGAAATATCAACTAGATAAATCGAACTTTGGATGATTAGCGATCCTAAATAGTTCTCCATCAGCTGAAGAGAAGTAAAGACTGATGATCTATGCTAGGAGTCGACTTGTTTCCTAGTTTTGTTTATTCTATTGATGTGAAATTTTAGAAAATTCCCATATATTGAATTTGGTTCAACAAAACAATTTGTCGAATGGAGATATAGTTTCTCTTGAATCAACAAAATATTTCATTGAATTAACCAAATATTTTATTGAATCAACCAAATATTTCTTTGAATCAACCAAATATTTCGTTGAATCAACTAAATATTTGATCGAAGCAATATCTCATTATTTTGAATCAAACAAAATGATTGTTTAAGCCAATTCAATATCTCTTCAAAACCATTCATGGATGTGCTTGATTGAAGAAGATCCAGAGTTCATGCAAGACATATTTACTTGATTCAAACTTCAAATTCGCTCTGAAACAAGATATAGATTTGCTCATTTCAAGATTATATTTTGTCGTGCATATATGACACTTTCATTTGCTCCATTCAATTAAATTTTGCTTGATTCAACAATTCCTTTTTTTCCGTGTATGTTAACCATCATTTTTGTCCCTTCACTTATATTTTGTATAGATAGC